GCAGAATCTTTGGCTTTCTTTTCGTCGGCTGGGAAGCTCCAGTACCAGTTGCCGCTACCAATCTTCTCGACACGGATCTTGTTGTCGTCTGAGAGTGCTTGGAGGTAGTCCTTGACCTGCATGCCGTTGATGGAGGAGACTTGTGGCAGCGTCTTTTCGAGGTCCTTGATGCTATGAGCCTGCGCCGTCTTATGGAACCAGGCAAGAATGGATGCCGCCTTCTGCGGGTTGGGCTGAGTTTTGGGTGCCTGCTAGTGTGAGTGAGTGCGCGATTGGGAATCGTGTCTGGACTGACCATTTTCGCCCGACTAAGAAGACGAATGCTCTTGCAGCGGAAGTGAAGTAGCAACGAAGACCGAGAAACGATGGCCGTGGCGATCGTGTTAAGACTAAGGTCGCGAGATTTGAGCGCGCTTTTGATCGCGTCTTCTCCCGCTTGAAGGAAGGCACGCTAGGTCCCCGGTTGTGGTAGGAGGCAGGCACGACCTCAGTCCAGCTAGAACCTCGATCGCATCAACACTATTGGCACTCATCTACGACCCCCGGTAATATCCTTTCTACAGTAGAACTTGAACATTACGGCGTGAAGATCAGAGGTGTGCGTTCAAACGGGCGTACGAGGCGGTGTACACATATGGCATCATCTTTGACCCATCAAGTCCTCCTTGCGAATCTTTTGGCCACAGGTCGAAACAAAAACTTTTCACTCCTGGACTTCGCCATTCCACGTATTGTGATACTCAATCCAGATCCTCTTCAAAGTCGTCCGACTCTTCTGAGTCATCAAACGACGACGTCGACGACGACTCATCGGACGAAACCCACGTCACATGCTTCCCTGTCTTCTTTTCAACCGGCTGCTTCTCTTTATCAACACTTGACTGCTCCTTCTCTTTACCAGTACCCTGTTTCTGCGCACCACTCTTCTTCGCCCTCTTCGCCTTCTTTAGACTCGTGAGAATCTCATGTTCATGTTCCTCAGCGGCCTCCGTAAAAGCCAAATCTCCTGTCTCACCCAGTGCATCGCGCGCCGTTTCTTCCATCAGAATGCACAGAGCAATGAGCGCGGTTTCGTTCAGGCCTCTCCACGTCCTTCGCATGAGCTTGCGCGAGAAGCGGCGGCGTCGTCCAGTTTTGACCCACAGCCTCTCGATGTAGGCTTTCATTGCGGTGGCCAGATCTCCACTGGGCAGCTTTTGGTCAGGAGGTAACTTGTTGTGAGCGGGATAATAGTCATCTTCCTCGTATCGGATGGGCGCATTCTTTCGCTTGAAGAGTACCTCGTCTGGCCGAAGTGGTTTCCTGGATGCCTTGGGATCAGAGATGTTGTGAATCAGACCAGTTCGGGCGACTCTGCCTAGATATCTTTAGATCAACTGTCTTAATGATGAATTTGGGCGTCTCTTACGTTTGACGGCATCGTAGACGGTGGATCGGCGCTTGCGAAATTTCGTGCGTTTAATCTTGAGCTTTTTCTTGACGGCAGCCATGCAAGATAGCTCCGGGGTGTTTGTCGTTGTTGTGCTAAGGTAAGGCGGAGTGCAAAGGTACGCGGCTCGCTTGCAAGGATTGAGCGCCGGTTGGTGAATGTGTTGCGACTGCAGATCCCTGTCGCGTGTGGACGCCAGGCTACAACGTCATAACCTTGGAACCCTCTGCGCCTCCCAAGGTTCTTCTTTCCCTCGCTCCAACACACACGAAGCATGTAGTCGCATATGAACGCCCAACACGTGCTCGACCGCGCGTACGGCTTCATTCCCAACCATGTCCTCAAGCGCGCCTATGCCTCCCGTCTTATCTACGCGCTGCAACCGTCTTCAGCCGTGACCTTCAGTCAGCACCTACCGGCTCCCGACAACCCACGCGAGCGCATACCGGCGCATGTATCCGGAGTAAACGCGCTGACAATCGACAAGTTCGAAGGACGGTATCTGCTTTCTGGAGGTGCCGACAGCTCCATCGCGGTATGGGATCTCGAGGCGCAGACCACGGCAACCGAGGCGGGAGAGACACATCTGCCTCTGACAGCGGTGAACAAGACGAGCGAAGAGCACAAGCTAGGCATTACGCAGATACGATTCTATCCCTTCGATTCTCTGGCCTTCCTCACGTCCTCGTACGATCACACCGTCAAGCTCTACTCCAGCGAAACACTTGCGACGTCGGCGTCTTTCAATCTCGACTCAGTCGTGTACAACATCGCCCTGTCACCTATCGCATCGCACCTTCTCGTCGCATGCGCCACCCAACACCCCAACGTCCGTCTCGTCGATCTGCGTTCCGGCGCAACCACACACAGTCTAGCGGGCCACTCTGGCGCAATTCTCTCTACAGCATGGAGCCCTGTGCGCGAACACATTCTCGTGAGCGGAGATACAGACGGCAGTGTACGCTTCTGGGATGTACGCCGCAGCGTCGGTGAGCTGGGCGTACTGGATCTCGAGGACTCAGTCGGCATACTAGGGAAGCCCGCATCGTTTACACGCAACTCTACCAACGCACAAGCGCACAGAGACGCCGTGAACGGGCTCGTCTGGACAGAAGACGGCAAACACCTAGTCTCGTGCGGCCACGACGCGCGGATACGCGTCTGGGACACAGATACCGGCGCCAATACCCTCGCCAACTTCGGCCCCATGGTCAAGAACTCGGGGCTTGCGCCGCGCATTCCCGTACTTGCACCCACGCAGAACCTCCAGCCAGGTGCCGATCTCATGTTCTACCCAAACGAGCATGAGATACTTAGCTACGAGCTCTTTGACGGCAAGCTTATCCGCCGTCTGCGCCGCTCACAGCAGCCACAGACGGATAACCCACCTAGCACCTCTGGTGCAACAGCAAAGGGACAACGCAATATCAAGGATAGAATCACAAGTCTAGCGTGGCGGCCACATCACGTAGAGATATATTCTGCGCACGCCGATGGCAGTATAGCGGCATGGACGCCGCGAACGGAAGAAGACGCTGAAGCAGATGAGGATGAGCAATTGGAGCGGGAAGAAAAGGAGGTCGATAAGAAAAGGAAGAGAGGCGTGCTAGATGAGATATACCAAGGGTTGACCAAGAAGCAGATTACATTTGGCAACATGGGCTTTTAGCCAACTGATAGTAATATTGACAAGATGAATTGAATCGAATCGCTCAGACTGTTATATTACAACATATGCTACCCGCTGCGTCTCTTCATATCTCCGTTATACATCATTGTAACAGTGCAATATATGCCTTCGTATAGCAACCCCCATCTATCCCTCCGTCTATTCCAGTGTCTATCCAGACCCAAAATGCGGTAACCTAGCCGGAACAAATGCCTCTTCACCAAGTCCCCCTCTTTCGTCTTCCTCTCTCACCTCGTCTTTAATAGACAATGGTCGATTCGGCGTAACAGCCTTACTCGAGTAATCGCTCTCATCCACATAGAACGCACTACTATCCGGCATCGTCTGCGTATCTACGAAACTCGGGAAAGGGATCGCATCGCTTTGATCCATCGACGGCGCAGTCTCGCCAACGGGTGTGCGTACAAGCGGAGATACAGTCGAGTCTACCGTTGTCATGAATCGCGCTGGCGACGCAGAACGAGGCGTACTAGATTTGGTGGAGAGAGGTTGATCGGGCGCTAGACCGCGCTTGACGGCGAGTTGTTGCGCTTCCTGCCGTTTGCGACTGACTTCCCTCTCCTCTTGTAAACGAAGACGTTCCTCTTCTTTCGAGAGTTCGTCGAGCGTGGGGGGAACTTGTTCGATTGTTTCTGAGACGGAGCGCGCGGAGAGGGGCGGTTTGTCCGAGTTGCTTGTGTTGCGGGAGGAGAGTGTGCGCGTGGATACGCGGGATGCGGAGGGGCGCTTGCTCTTGCTTGAGCGGGCTTTGTTGCTGCTGGGCGTGTCTTCGTTCCATTGCCCTGTTGTGCGGCGCTCGAGGGCGATGGTGAATTCGTCGTCGAGGGGCACGGCGTCTTCCAGCTCGTCTTCGCTGGGGAAGATGTCGCCTCGCGAGCTGAGGGAGTCGGTTGTGTGGCCCGATGTGTGCGTGTTGCTTCGCTGTCGGCGGTGGCCTTTGTTCTCGGGCCCGTCGAGCGCATCCTCGTCGCTGTCCTCTATCAGTGGCTCTTCCTCCTCACGGTTTCTTCGTGTTGCGCCTGGGTGCTCTATGAGGTCTGCGGCCGAGGGCTTGTATCGCAGTCCTCTGCCGCCAATCTTGAAAGGCAAGCGTCCCAAGAAGCCAAAGTACGAGGAACTCGGGATGAGAGTCGGGTCTTGGGCGCCATCTCGTGGCAGCGTCGTGCTTTTCCGGCGCGGCGTGTTGTATCTCGGGTCGCGATTTCGCTGTCCATAACTCATGCCGCTCTGCCGGCCAGGCTGCGATGTTGCGCCATAATTGGAAGCGCCGCCGAGGAAGCGGTCGAGGTTGTCGCTGCCCCAGCCCAGCAGGCCGTCGTTCTCATCGTCCTCCCAGTCGTCGTAGAAGTCGAAGCTGACTTCTGCCCGGCCTCGTGACCGCCCGCGATTGCGCCGGCGGTCGTTGTGCGCTGGGAAGCATGGCGCCGTGCACGCGTTGACGCATTGGGTTATCGACGAGAAGCACGGATTAACATAGCGCTGCGTGAAGCCGTAGATGTTCTCCTGCGCCGATTCGTTTGCGTGCTCGAGGTTCTCTGTGATCTGATGGAGCGTGCGATTCCACCGCGGGTCGCTGCGACGGTACATGGTGACGATGACGACGACGGTGGCTAGCACTCAGTGGAAGCGGGTGGGTATTGCGTGGAGCAGCAGAGTGCTGCGATGCGACAGCGCATTGGCTTCAACAGGACAGCAGGCGCATTCACGCTGACACACTGAGGTATGACGACGTGGTCGATGAGATGCGGCTCGGTTGGCGCTCTAGGTTCAGATTCCCCAGCCCTGCGCCAGCCGTCCCAGCACCCCACATCAATCCAGCCTTTCACCCCCACAGTCTTGCTGCTTTCGGCACGCCCCTTCCGACCAATCCTACAATGAACCATGCGATACGTCCGCTTCCTCAAAAGTCCCCGCGTAGTCGCTGAAAAGGGCACGTCGAGAAAGCAAGTCCACTGTCTGATTACCATTACTTCAGACCTTGGAGATTCTTTTCTCCCTTACGACATCCAGCTAGCAGCAGAGTTGTCAGCAACTGCAGATGGGTCAGAAGAAAGCGTGATAGTATGGTCGAACGTGCAATGGACAGCCGGCATGCGCAGTTTGCCCATCACTTTCCCGCTCCCTAAATCTCAGTCTTCCCAGTCCAGTTTGCGAGTAAGAGTGGGTGGGGAGCCGAAACGAACACACGATGACTTCGCTGCGATAGCAGAAAAAGGTGCTCGAGGTGTTGTATCTGCCTGGAGCCCGCCTTTCGCGTCAGACCAAGATGCTCTGAAATTAGTCGAAAGACGGTTCAAGCTGCCAGATGGACCCATCACTACTATCTGGGAGGAGACGGGAGAAAGCATAGCGAGGCATCTATGGTATGAATATCCAATTTTGTTACAATCTATTTGAGGTGCTGATCATATAACAGGGACGCTGGTATCACACTCTCATGCCAAATGACAGCTCTGGATAATCCAAAATCCAGCCTAGCAGAAGCTTTACTACCATATGGTATTGCATCCGAACCTCATCTGAATGTCCTCGAACTTGGCACAGGCTGCGGAATGGTCGGCATTGCAATCGCTCAAACTGTCTCCAACTCCAAAGTTCTCTTGACCGACCTTCCAGAGGCTAGAGAGATCGTTGAGCGAAACATCGACTCGGCGGTCAAAGCACCAGGTGCATCACTCGCGTTCATGGAACTGGACTGGGATGCAGAGTTACCTGGTGAAGTACAGTATAGCTCAGAGCCTCTCGATCTTATTCTCGCTGCTGATTGCACGTACAACCCAGACAGCAGGTATGCTTCCTCTCACCCACTTCACGTACCTGGAATACTGCTGACTTTCACCTACAGCCCCGCACTAGTCAAAACGCTTGCTCGACTCTCCAGAGCAAACCCTAAAGTCAGGATTGCCATCGCAATGAAAATGCGCCACTCAAGCGAGGAAGTATTCTTCAAACTAATGTCCGATGCAGGATTCCTAGAGACAGACAAGATGGAGTTTCCATTGCCAGGAGATGTCAAAGTTGGCGAGGAGACTGTGTACTTGCACGTCTACTATAGGATGCTCTTTGGATAAACCCAGGCTGGGTATCAGCTGCTTCGGGTATAAGTAGGTACTTTTCCCAATCTGATGAGTATCTCGCCCGTTCATCTGTCATCACTCGGAATGTATAGCAAAAGAGGCGTATACAAGCTATTCGCCAGGGCGTCTTGCACGCTTACAAGGCTGCTGCAAGGTAGCTGGCCTGCTCGCATCGTGACACCAACCCCAAAACCAGGCCCATCAAGTCTGTGGGAGCCAGACAACGATTCCCATCTTAGAGAGAAAAAAGCTAAGTATCAAACGAATCAACATGCATCCCCATCCCACTTCCACAAGAAAACCCCCCATCGCATCGATCCTCCCACACCCTCATACCCACACCCTCAGCCTCGCCCATCTCAAACCCAACCCACATTCCTCCCGCCCCCACACCTTTTCCATCTTACCATCCACGCCCCTCCCAGACCATTCCCACTCCCCGCAAGCTGACCACCCCAAAACCTACCCTAAGTAGCAAGTCCGGCGTGGGGTCCGTCGAACCCAGCACTAACAGCCACTAACGCTCATGCTGGTAAGCACTTCGAGCGCTAGCGCTTTCCGCAAGGACTACGCCGCTACGCCGCAGTAAACTAGTTACTTCCGCTAGCCAGATAGATGATTGTGGCGTGATGGTGCAGTGCTGCGAGTACTAGCTACTGTATCATGCGCGGCTTTGGTGGAGTTTTGCTACGCATATTACCTAGGTACGGATCAGTTGGTACACACGTGAGGCTAGTAGTGTGGAGGTCAAAGGTTCACAATCCATTTTTGTATGATTATTGTAACGATGTCCATCTTGTATATACAGTCTTGTCATGCTATGTACAATTGATTATCAAGTCCTGCAACGATTATAGTACGAGGTTGCGCTGGTGACCCGTTCAAGCATGTGTTGATTCCACCTTTTCGTTACTACATATAGTTTTCAGGGCGATATTTTGTATGTCAGGCGTCGCGACTTGGTTATGAAAGAGTTGATGGCTTCGGTGAGGGCGTTGGAGGGTTTTGTGCTTGCCTGAGTAGGTCTGTCAGCGTCATTGTATTGGGTTTGGGGGTGAAGAGTGCTTACGTCTGGTTCTCCGTCTGGCGTAGCGGCGCGGTTTACAATGGCTTTTTCGGGCTCGGTTAGGAAGTTTTTGATTGAGCTGTTGGCGGATACGCGGGTTATGTTTCCGTAGCCATCGTATTCTTCGATGTCTTTGATGGGGCTTCCAGCGGCTTGTTGTCGGGCTGCTTGTGCGCGCCTTCTGTTCGATCGCATAATCAAGGTTACACCGATTGCGAGGAGGATCGTGACGAAGCCTGTGTTGATGTTAGATCTGTCCTCGAAGAGGGTAACGTGCTACTTACCCAGCACTCCAAAAAGAATGAACAGTGTCCTTGCTAGGGGAGTCAAGCCGTGCTGCGGCTCGACACTAACGGCGGTGGCCAGACTGGAAGGTATGGCTGATCCGGAAGCTAGGGACAATGTCCGAAGCCCTGAGGATATGGACTGTCGTGTGGTGACAGCTTGTGGCGCCATGATAGTTTGAGTGGATGGCTGTATGTCTTCTTTGGCTTCTGCTGTTCGCGTGACGGTGACAAAGGTGAGAACTGGAGGTAGCGATGAAGGCTTTGTCGTTGTCGAGGACGCTGTCGGGGATGAAGTCGAGATGACCAATGTTGGCGGCTGGGAGAAAGAACTCGCAGAGGATTCAGTGGCTATGCTCACTGTCGAAGAGGACGATGTAGTTGACATAGCCGTTGAGCGGGAGTCGCTCAGAATCATGAAAGACACTGCAGAAACATACATTGTAGGCTTTGGTTGATTCTTTCCAGGCATAGGCTTTCCCACTGTCATCGCCGAAGTTGCGGACGGTATAGCTGTACTCTCAGGGGTTGCGAGAGGTGTCACTACAGGTGTAGTCAACAGTACAGGAGTTTCTAAAGAGATGAAAGTCAACACTCCGTGCACGTCCCCAAGGCGTGTTCTTCATCAGGAGCTTACCTTGGTTCCTTCCAGGTACTGTTCCCAATGAAGGGTCGTCTTGGTTGACACCGGGAAGGGCTGCAATTTCATCCTGTGCGAAAGAGTCCGCTAGAAGGCCTGGGACTGCAGTTGAAGCAGGTTGGATGGTCATGGCCTCGTTCATCGCGACAGCATCTGCTTGCACAGTAAGGGTTGGCCGGATGGTAGATGCTACAAAGTTAAGGGAGAAGGTCGAGGTGGCATTCATCGATAACGAAGGTGCGGTGAAAGCTTGAAGTGTTGATCCCTGGCCATCGGTAGGCGTTGGTACGGCCAGTGTTGAGAGCTGTTCGGACTGCGATGGGAGTACACCCTGTGTACCCATAGTAGGGTCCATCGACCATGACGATGGCATCGGTGGTGGGCCGTCCGGAAGTTCGTTCTTGCTCGTATCCGATTGTTGGGATCTCGTCCCGCCTGTCCCCAAGTCCATGTTCATATTCTCCTCATTCTTGCCCTCGACTACGATGGGCGTAGCTGCCATCCTTGGATTATTACGGCGTACCAGCACCGGTGGGGTATCATATGGTCTGCTCGGTGCAGCCATTGCGAGGTAAGATTCCCATAGAGGCGAGGAAGATTCACAGCACGCGAGATTATTGAAATGGCAGTAATGCGGGTGCCATACCCCAGCCGGCTATTAGTGGTTCCATACAAAAAGTACCAGATGCCAAAAACGTGCTGAAGCGGGTGAACGTTTCGGTGTGGGCTGCTACCACGAGATGCGGTTGGTCAAGGGAACGCCCACCGCGACTTTTCAGTACCAAACATGACCAGCAAGATCCCTGTACCAGGGAGATCTGTCGCCTATTTGAGACCATGTGGTGCACCAGCTATGGTTTTCGGGGGATTGTATCCGCTTCATGGGGTTCCTCCAAACGTGCACTTGTTTCGCAGAGGACGCCAAAGTTTGTGTCGACACTCGAAACGTAGCGCATGCGGCGGGAACTTCGAGACCGGTCTGAACAACGATACCACTGCGATGGCCGCGTGGTACGTATCTAGTTGATGGAGGCCGTCCGGTTGATGATACAAGAAAAGGAACGGTAGCCCTGCCGACAGCTCATGTAGGTCAGATCTACAGATAACGTGTACTCTGGATAAAACAGCAGCGCATTGTTCATTCTTGCCATGGAGAGTGTTCTGAAATATTTCGTCTTTTGCTCGCAACCAGAAACAGTAATGATGGCCTTGTTCATTATGGAATTGTCGCGACATTTTCGACGGTGCCAATGTGAGGCATGCTCAGCTCCGACTCGGCAGACTCATGCAACCAGCGTGGCTGTGCCTGGCTTCGGCACTCGTATCCGGCCTCACGCAACGAGGTGTAATCCAGCGGTATTCTCGCATCCGGGATGGGGTTGTAGGGCAGAGGACCACTGGGTGTTTAGCTTGCGGGTGCATCGGAACCAGCCTCTGAGGCCTCGGGCGCGGCGAAGTGGATCAATCCAGCAGCCGTCCGAGTCGATGATGCTTGCCGTGCGCCACCTCAGTCTAGGTCGATATTCCCTTGTCGCATACTTATCGTTCGTATTCTGGCATTTCTGCAACATGATAATCGCGAGTACATAGCCGCTGTCGTCGTTCTTTTCGCACGTGTACCCCCCGAATGGCCGCACGTGATATGCCTGAGTGCGCGGTGCCGGAAACCATGGACCTCGAGCATGGGACCAAACGCGACCCTTCCCGCGACCGCGTTGCACCGAATAGTCAGAACTTAGAAGTCACCCCGCAATGGAGGAAAAGGTTCAGCGCGCGCACGCCGGCGCCCGTCTCTCGCTGGAGCCGCAAGGTTGTCGACTGGGTCAAAGGGCCGAAGCCTCCGAGCAGATACACGATCACGCCTTTTCTTGAGCGCTGGCAGACACTGCCTGTGCGTCTGCTCGCGCGGCTGCCAGAATGGCTGCGCATCTGTGTGTATGCGGCGGCGTGCATCGTGTGGATTGTTGTCTTCGCGGTAGTCATCAGTGACGGCGGGCTTCCGTCTGACATTGGAGGGCTCGGGGCGCCTGTCAAGCTGTCGTGTATCAACAACCTGTGGTAGGGCCTCTCCTCTTGTACTCGAAGCTGTGGTGACTGTACTGATCGTCGCCAGGCCTTCTCTAGAGAGCTGCGGAACCGACGGCCGCAACTGCCTCCCCTTCTCCAACGCCTCGTTCGCCTTCGTCTGCCCCGCCGGTTGCTCGAGCGCCCAAGTCCTAAACCCTCGCGCAATCGGTCCGCAAGTTATAAACTATCGATCCCTGGTGATTGGCGGCACGCCGGATTCCCAGGGCGATGGGCTCGTATATCGCGGGGACTCGTTCATATGCTCGGCGGCCATCCACGCTGGAGTAATCAGCGATGGCAGCGGCGGTTGCGGTGTTCTCTCCTTGGTAGGAGAGCGCGACAGCTTCGGCGCTGTGACACGACATGGCATCAGCAGCATTGGCTTCGACTCGCACTTTCCAATGTCCTTTACCTTTGGCGAGGCTTCGGCCAAATGTGAGGACCCGCGCTGGAATCTGCTGATCCTCTCGACCATCTTCACTGCTCTGTTCGGCATCTTTACCACGAGCCCTGCGACGTTCTTTGCGCCCGTCTTTACGATTCTGTTCTTCCAGACCGGCATGGCATCAGATCCGCCCTCGTACTCAAACTACGCCTCCTTGGCCTCTACAACACTTGGTCGCTTCTTGCCTGCGGCATTGGCTGCTGCCCTCTTCTATCAGTTCAGTGTTCGCAAGTCTCTGCGTAATTGCAGGGCGCAAATCGAAAAGACCATACTCTGGATAGGCGGTGCCTGGGTTGGCGCACTGGGTAAATATACATTTGAACGTATACCCATACAGCGCCTTACAGGAAACGACATCCGACAACAGCCTGGTGCTATCACAGCATTAGTAATCATCGTGCTGATTTTGTTTGCCGTCGTTTTGTACCAAGCATGGTGTTTCCGTAAGGAAGGGCGACTGCCACGCTATCTTGCACTATACGCTACATTAGGCCTTGGGCTGGGTATCCTTGCAGCTATGCCGAAGCTTACACTTAGGATACACCACTACATAATCGCCCTCCTACTCCTTCCAGGTACTGCGATGCAGACACGTGTGAGCTTGCTGTGTCAAGGCTTGCTCGTTGGACTCTTCGTCAATGGTATTGCACGATGGGATTTTGACTCTATACTGCAGACTGCAGCGGCGCTGAGAGGGGATGGCCAGCTCGGATCTGGTGTCCCAGCCCCTTTGGAGCTAGTCGTGAATCGTTCGAGCATTACATTCGCATGGGAGAGTCTACTCAGCGGATATGAAGGCGTCAGCGTGGTGGTTAACGATGTGGAAAGGTATCGGGGCATTGGTGGAAGCGACACAGGAAACTTCACCTGGAGTCGTTCGGATGATGCGAAGGATGAGTACTTCCGGTTTGGGTTCATCAATTATAAACTGTTTGGCAACGTAGCATATAGCGACTTTACGAGAGCGGGTACGTGGTTCTCGAATGGGACCTGGTCTGGATTCCCGCCAGGCCGTACATGATAGAACCCGAATGAAATCATCCTCGGGAGGTAGAGACCTGTTTAATCCCTTCATTGCAAACCTCGTTCCTGCAGATGTAACCAATGAGCCACTAGCGCGTTTACGTCACCGTTCAATACACGGAAACCTGGGCTTCAGGACAGGCGATCGACAGGTGGAAGCGGTGATCCAACGGTTATACAGACACGTCTTGGCCAACCGCGGCAGCCATCATGCCCTCTCCTGCGACAAATCAGGTCTGGCTCAGATTGTTCCTTCTGCTTTGGGTGCGGGGGTAGTCCGAACACGGCAGTGGACATGACGTCACACCAACAGAGCCGAGTTGCTCCAGGGCTTGAATGACCGCGCCTGCACTAGGTCATTTTCCACAAACACGATGCCTTCTCTCCCTCGGAATCTCTACTCCCTTTGACCCTACCCCTCTACCTTCCGGAGCCTCAAAGGCATGGATTCCCCCCCGAGACGTGAAGCGCCGGCTGCTTCCAAGCGAAAACCTGTCCCTTCGCCGACTGCACCTGGGCCTTCGCTTGAGCCAGAACGCAAACGCGAGCTTACCAGTAGACTAATACCGGATGCCTTTCTCACTGCCACTCTTTTGGCAGCCCTTACTCTCTCCTGGCCGCTACGATGGGTTATCTCTGGAGCGCCCATACTTGTCTACGCCATCCTCCTAGGCGAGGCTTATGGCCATCGTATCTTACCCTTCGTTCCCGTCTGGACCATCTTTGCAACTGTCAACTTCATTTACGCAGTATGCGCGACATCATGGCTTCTGTACTGGGTATTCTGGTCCCTCTGTTGGCCTGTTCTCTTCATCACCTGCCTCTTTCAATTCGAAGCACCGGCTGCTTTGGCACGCCGCACGCTACGAAAGACTTTCCTACGAGACCTGCACTTTATCAACGATCAGATAGCCTTCTTCGACCTGCCTGCTCTTGAGATTGACACCGAAGTCAAGGGACTTTTCGTCGTCCGGGGAGTCACGCTCTCACTCTCCAC